GATTTCATGATCAATCACAACGAAAGTGACCTGCGCCGTCCGGGAATCGAACCCGGGTCGCCCGACTCACAGGCCAACGCTCTACATATACAGCTAATCGGACGTCTTTTTCTTATTATTTCTTTTGTTTAATTATTATATACCTTAGTGACAGAAGGGTGCGAAATAGAATCGGCAAATTAAAATCGGCATTAATCATTTCCCTAATTTTGTCAAATACAATACGATATTTCGGTCTAACATACGATAAAAAATAAACATGTAAACACAAATAGTAATTTGGTGCTATATTTATAAATACCTAAATTAACTACATTTACAGATATAACGGTAAACTGCTCCTTTTTATATACTTGTTATTATGGTTGTGGAAACTGAAAGTACAAATTGTCTATCTGTTGACATTTATACTGATTTAGTTGTAATTTAACATGCAGTGAGCATTTTTAAATTGATAATGATTGTCAGACAAATGTTCAATCATAATTTTGTCGAAATAGACTTTACTTTGCTTTGAATTTCAAATATTTACATTTTTGTTGTGACATGGCATAGTTATTCACGCGTCGGACTAGTCATTTCATGATTGCTAGCAGCATAGGTTCAACCGCTGTCAGGGTCCTTAAGTGAGAAACTTTACACTCCTTATTGCTCAGTAGTGGTTGGTTCAAGGAACGGATTCGACAGTGTGTCTCTACATATCCTCCTACACAATCGATCTAAAATAAGTTCTGTATAAAAGAAATATATACATTTTTTATAAATTATCAAAGATTACACCCTCTGTTTTGTTTACATCTAAAACCACGTGGTACAACTACTTTCAATCCGTATAATGTCCGAGATTATAATTGATAATAGCCGAGACGTTGCTATTGGGCATATACGGTGAAACGGTTAGGGACTCACTAGTTTTAAACAGTTCGCATTGTTAAATTTATTTGTGTTAAAACTATTACACAACAAACAACGAAACTTTTTTTTTAGTGAGGAATGTATATGAATCAATGTAGCAAACAGCAGGAAATGGGCAGCAAAACTGGGGTACCAAAGTGAAATTATGCTAGATGACTATAGGTTTGAAGAAGTATGGCTATATTCGTGTTCGGTAGATATTAACGCATGTATGCCAATATTAAAAAAGATGGTCCGATATATATGTTAGTGAATGGAGAGTGTGTACACGAAGTATTGGCAAAACTTTGAAATGTCATAATATTTAACATTAATGAAAAATAAATAAATATAGACATGTGATTACAACAAAATGTCTTCTCATTGTCTTGAAGTTGAGCCCGGTAGGCTTAGGTATATTCAATGGAACAAGCGTTTATATAAATCATAACGGGCAATAGGAGATGAATTCCACTTCATATGAGAATGTCAAATGTGTCATAACATTAGAAACCAGACTATAGAACAAGGCCAAAAATGATCAAATTTATTGACTTACAATCATCCAGAAATGTGCATCTTGTACATGTATATACACTGACAAAAACATGTATTTAATCAGAGTGTTTGAAGGAATGAATACTCTTAAATTCAAACTAGATAATCGAAATACTGAATTAAAATATTTTGTCAAATTAGCATGTCTCAAATTTTCATAACCATGATTGTATGATAAAAATAAATAATGTTAATTGTTTTGTTTCGTTTTCTTTTCTCCCTGACGTATTTGGAAGTTCATTTTGATAAATGAAAAAAAAAACAGTCATTTTAAATTACTTTAAAAAATCTCATGTTCAATAATCAAAGATCAAAGAGTATTTAAATTGGACAGATTAATAGCCGTTTTTGTTTCCAGTTACACGGTTAGGTCATATTCTAATGTAAAACATATCATCTTTCTTCTTTCAAAATAGCAGACATTTGTACGCATTTCACACAGGAACATAATGAATATTTGATAATTTAACACTATATTCTTAATTCTGATAGGTTCGCTACAAATGATTGCTATGTCAAGCGCAAGATATGTCGTTACAAGTTTATCCGTTCTAAGCATAATAAGCGTTCTAACATAATAAGTGTTTTCGTACCATTAACAAATTATGTGATCTTTACGCAAAATTATTATTCAAACGTGTAAAGACTTCCCTTGAGCTAGGTAGGAAATCATTCGATGCATAGAAATCATTTGTAGCAAATCTATCAGAAAAGAATGAATTGAAATAAGGTAAAATAATTATCAATTTTAAAGGAACTATCGGGGTTTAAGGAATTAAAGAATAAAATATTCCCTTAATCAGTACAGCATACTAAAACAAGTGATATGCTTAATATTAATTAGTATGCCCAAATTTCTGATGTTTGATGACATTATGTCTATATCTTAAACATGTTAATATGTATATAATATTTTTTTTCATATGAATATATAAACATTTAATAAATCAAACGCAAACACGCATGCGCCAAATTGAATACCAACAGTATCTAATGATATATCGTAAAACATTAAGTATATAATGTATTTCAAATAGGTCTTCTTATCAAACGTATTTATATTACTAGGTATTGGTGAAATGTGAATGTTTTATGTTTACTATTATAAGATATTCGATATAAACACTTACATGATTGTGGATAATAGTTTATGTGGTTTGTTGTTTTTAATATTTATTATTATTATCTTGATGAATGTATTATAAACACACATACATTGATTTTCCAATAATATCATAGGTAAGATCACATATCTACAAATATTTTACCTTCATGTTTTTATTAATCGGATACATTTCGCAAAGATGTCGATTGCTAATAGTATTGTTATTCAACCACTTACTTAAAGTTTTTCTCTTTTGTTTTATCCAATTACAAAGGCTCATCACAAATTAGGTATTAATTATGTTCAATTATATTTCATTCATGGGATCTAGGAAAAATTCTTTTTAAATTATGTTATGCGAAATACATAACAATTCCATGAATAATTGTCACCATCGTTTTACTTATGACGTTTTATCATAGTTTGGGGACCTTTCTGTTGAAAATGTGTCAGAGTTAAATCGTTAACATAGACATGTACAGAGAGTTATTTGGAGTGTAGGACTATTAGTTACCCGCACTCCAGAGCATGCCCATTGATTGGCTCATTTTTGCTGAGGTTTACTTATTGTGACGGAAGAGAAAGGGAAAGCGACAGAAATATCATATTCAGATGCTCGTTCAGTGGTTACTTTTTTCGGGGTTTCATATTTTGACAACAGAGAAAGTGTTTTTTGTTAATCTATTATACAAAAGAGAAAGAACATCGAAACACTCGGCAATCCGAGTAATACTCGGGGGTCACGCCCCTTCGTAAAAATCAGATAGCCTCGTGTTTCGATGCTCTTTCTATTACTTATAGTTAAATTGTATCTAAATGTAGTTACCTTACAATAAAAGATATGTTTTGTGATATTATTAAATTAAAATATCAGAATGAACGCCATTGACACTGTTAGGTGCATAAGTATCTGGTTATGTTTGTATGTACAGTCAGAAAAGTATAAACACTTTACGTCAGTGTGCAATTATGCATTAACTGTATATTGTTGCTTTGAAGACATCTGATTCAAATATTTTCTATTTGCATTTTGTTTAAATTGCAAAAGTAATACTTAACTTACACGATACAATGCATGTCTCTTATAATATAGACTGCATGTAATTATGTATAATAATCGTTAGAAAACATTTTATTAAGTTAATAAATACTTTGAATACTTTGACATTTTAGTCACATTTATTTGCAAAACATATTTTTTGTTAGAAAATTGTTTCTTTTCCATATATGTAACTCTCTGGTTCCTTAATTAAATCATGGCTTGGCATTAAACCTCAACTGCTATGTTTAGAGCTCTTCTTTTAATTTAACTTTGTCACGTTGTTATACTCATTTTCTATAATGACATACAATGCTGTGAAATAATTATAAAATAGATGTTCTACCACGCCTTGAGGCCGATAAATGAATACAAATTATCTCACAGGTTTTTTTTAAAGTAACTCGTAAATTACAATTAATCTGTTCTTAGTGTAACATACTTATTCAGGATACTAACGACGTTATGGTAATCTAGAAATAAGTGACCAAACATTGAGTCGTCTATCCAACTCTGTTTGCAATGTTTATACAATTTGTTGAGGTTAATTAATTTTCAAAATATGTCGTGTATGGCTTTTTTTCTCATTGAAATGCGGCAATTATATTTTTTTCTACAATACAGCAGGTTATCAAATAGATTGGTACTGTGATTAGAACATAATACGCACCAGACTTCATAAAATATCCTTTAGTTCATCAGTGCAACATTTTCACACATTCGAAGATTGCTGCGTTTTTTTTTATTTCAAAATAAGAAATGCATTTTGTACATTTTACAGTTGTAAGTGATCAGTATATATTAAGTGCAGTGGCTTTGTAATACTTCTTAAGTTAGAATAAGAAGTAAATTGTTGAAATATTGTTGTTACTTTTGTTACTTATATACTGACTTTTTAATAAAATGATGTCATATCAATATTTAATAATATAATTATTTTTATTAATTAACGTTATAAAGCGCACTTTTCATGTACACGTTTGCAGTAGATATCAACTGATAACTAAATATAAATAACAGTAAACGGTATCATAAATACGTATAAGTAACGAGCTTTAAAACAATAAATGTACAACATATTCAAAGTTAGAACAGAATTTTAAATGTGGTTTTAATCTAGTCGTCTGAAGTTAAAACATAACAAATCAAGATCTTACAAAATAAGATGATAAAAGATAATCAAACGAAACTAAACCTGAAAGTGTCTTTGTTCAATGTTATAATCATAATCAGCTTCAGAATGATATCCCTGTGAATGTTACTTATAAATAATTTGTAAACTTTTAGATTGATTTTAAAATACGCGCCCAAAATGTCATTCTTCAATGATCTCCCACTGTGTCTTCTCGGAAAATAACATAGATATTATCAAATGTTAAGTATATGAAATTTGTATATTTCCAGACTGTTAAGTTAAGTAAGGAGGAACAAATGGGTATTCTAAAACAAAGAAGAACTGCATGTGAACTTAAAAAGCTCGAAGAACCTCCAGGGACAGGTATGTAAATTATAGAACTTCCATGAGCTTAGTTTCACCAAATTATTTGCCAATTTGATCTATCCAAATGTATGTTCTTTACATTCTTTCTATTCTATGTTCTTTAAAATAAGATCTTTTGAACAATAAATAGTTTCACTAGCTAAATCTTTTATATTTTTTTCCATTCCAAACATGCTCAGCTTTAACTTAATTGTTTTAAACAATATTACAAATACTGTCATAATTTAACTGCATTGTAGAAATATATAGAAGAAGACTTTTATAAACTTTATAGCTTTCGGCTCTAATCCTTTTGCAGTCGTTTATCTATATACTGTAACTGTATTAATAACATATTGTATTCATTGTTTGAAATAACCTATGTTTAAACTTCATTATTGTAAAAGGTGAACTAACCATTACGATAGTAGTGTATATTGTAATAATAATTTTATAAATCCTAGACATTTTCGTTAACATCTAACAATATGACATTACAGTACCTTATAAACATAACAATTTCGTCAATATAAAAGGTAAAAGTAATTTATTATTCTTAAAAATATATTGTTTGTAACAGATCCAATTTGAGTGTCAGAACGTACAATTTAATTACCGGTGTCGCGTAGTAATCACACGGAATCAAAATTTGTCAGTCTGCGAATATGTTTTTAGCCGTCGATAAAGAAGTTTTTGTAATGAAAGAAAGTTGCATTACTTTTAAAAATCAAAGGGGCTGCATGCTCTGTTGTATTTTCTGATCTTTGTTATATAAATCGTACTGTATATCTGTATGTATTGTCCTGTACAAGTTTATTCTTTCATATACTATAATTCATCTTGCAGGGCACTGCGTTTAGATTTTTTTACTATAACAGTTTGAGTTTCATACATACGGAATTTTGCATAACTCTAGAGTTGCATGAAAAAAAATCATTTACGTTCATTTTTTTATGACAGCCACACTTAATCATTGCATATCGTGGCTACTTCCTTAACAAAAGACACTTGAAAAATATTTAAAAAAATATTTGCCTCGACTGGGATTTGAACCCCAGACCTCTCACACCCTAGAAGAGCGCGTTACCCCTGTACCACGGGGGAGTTATACGAAGCCTGAATAAAATCAAATAATTCTAATTTTAGAATTTCCATTTGTATGTTTGTATTCTAGGCTTAATTCTAGGTCCATCTGCTCTTTCAGGCACTGAAAGTACGGACCCCGTATTCCATGTTAGGGTTTGTAATCCTTAATTAGTAATTTCGAGGCATTTTGTTAACGATAAACCTGTTGTTTAACACTGATGTAAATAATTTAGCGAAAATCTTCTCGCATGTATGTATTCCACTAGTCGACAGCAAGATTTACTTGTGTAATACGCTCTGAAGTATTCGTTAATCGACATCGCAAAAATTAGCATTTTAATTGATTAAAATGATATTTATCCGCATAATTTGAAATCGTGCATTTATTAACAATTTTATAAGCCAACGCTACTTTGAATACGTTGTAATTTCTTGGATACTTGTTAGAAAATAAAAATATTGTTTTCTTTTAAATCGTTAGTTTTAAGTTGTTTTGAGAACTACTTATTGTTAGGTTTGTCGTGAAGAGATTGAATGTTAACATTGTATTTCCTGATTTCCTGATCTGCGATCAGAAAATACAAACATGTCTGGCCAATGACGCAAATACAATGACAGAAAATGATAGAATGGCATAGATATCGTCCTGAAAGTTAAGAACGTGTTTCCGTATAAAGTAATATAACTAAAATCGTCGGCTTTCTGCTACTAATGTTAATGATATAATGTGTCATTTCTATAGTCATTTCTATAAAAAAAAGAGTTTATATAGGAAGTCAAATTTTCGAAGGAATTTATGTTGAAGTTTTAATTTGACTGTTTCACAATTTTACTTTTATGTTTAAACACAACTAAAGTATGCATATTCTATTACGCACTTCATTATTCATATGAATCCATTCATGTGACGCCGACAAAAGTATTCTTTCTACTTTTGTAGTATTTTAAATCTTTCCTTGAACGTAATGTGTAGAATCATTATTTGAGCTTATATTATGATTTTCTATTCAATTATGGTGTCTCCCGACAATTATCAATTTCTTTGTAGGGCGCATTTGTGAAACGTGAAACTATATGATACATTTCAGGAATATATTGCAATGTAACATGGGATAATGTCATGTGCTGGGATTATACTCCAGCAGGGACAGTTTTAAAACTGCAATGTCCAGATTACATAAACGGTCTAAACAGTGCAGGTATGTTGATTGTGATAAATTATTGTGTTTTTATAAGCTAGATTGCTATTATTAACATGAATTAATCAAAATTATTGAAAATATGAATCATAATTTATCTGATTATTTCTTAATTGCTACATTGATCTCGTATTTCTTCATTTGTCTATTTGTTTTGTAATACATTTAATATGAATATTTTTAGATACAATAAAAAAGATTCCATGTCAATTTGGTAATTGATATGATTGTTTTAATTCCAATGCGCTAATGATACAATTTGTAGCGGTTATGATAACATTGAACTGTCATTAGTTATAAAATAGTATGATCCAGTTCAACAGAATATTGTATCCGTTCATCCACGTCAATATTAATCATATGACTTCTATGTCACCATTACTATAAGAACTTTTTATATATGTATGCAAATATATTCGTCCCCCTGTTTTGCTATGAGAAGATATTTATTTTTACCGGCGTAGTCAATCATCTTGTCTGCCTTTTTTATATTTAGTAGAAAAATAGTTTACTGACCAGAAGGTTTGATGATCATAGAAAAATGGATTGTAACGGAAAACTACTAAATTGTAGATAAACCTCTGACTTTATTAAAAAAAATAATAAATCATGTTTTGTTTTAGAGGATTTTTTCTCTCCTTTTAGGTGTATTGATGAACAAAAACTGTTAATATACTGACGAAACAATTAATATTGTGCAAATTAAATATGTTGTTTGTATTACATTCGTTGCATTGTTGTTGCCAGTATATATAAAGGAAACCACTTAAATCTTCAACGCATTGGATTCTAGCTTCCGTCATAACTTTAATTTAATTAGTTTAATGGTTATTTCAATGTAAAAATGACACAACATGCTGACTTATTATTACAAAATTTTGAGCATACAATTTAATAAATATATAATTAATGTATACTGTATACACATTTGATGTTTTAAGGATACGTGACACGTGAATGTTCGAGTGATGGTTCATGGAAACCAAATACTGAGTTCAATAACACTGACGGATGGTCAAACTACACTGGGTGCATGGGAGGTCCTAAACCGCACATACCAAAGGATTATTCAGTAATTATTCTATTCTTTATGATTATATTCATATATTGTTGTTAAGTCATTAGCCTTTTTTTATCTAAGCTCAGGAAATCATTTTCATTTTCCATTCCTTTTACAATATTTCCAAAATACCTTTTCGTAGCATAAAACATTGATACACAATTACTCCCGAGGAAGCCCGACAGGCCGATAGATATATGTAGTAGCGCCTTTATTTGCCAGTATCTAATGTTATTTTCATATGATTTCAGCACCATCTAGGTCGTATACAACTGATGTCGGAGATTGGCTACGGAGTGTCCTTGGCCTCCCTAATTGTTGCTGTTACAATAATGGTAGCCTCAAAGTGTGTACCTTTCCATGTTTTAGATACTTTATATTACATATAGCACAAATAACATTGTACCTATCATATCACTGTGTTATTGAAGCTTTCTCGATATTTAAGATACCTAATTACAATATAATGTATATATGGCATGAGATAGTGATCTTGCAGCAGTTAGCAAAAGGAGAAGAGCTGTTCAACAATCTCGCCTAAACAGTAACTCTTTATTGCTGCAATTCGTATCTTCTAGAATTAGAAAGAAGTTCCGACATTTCATATTTAAGACAAGTGCGTAATAGTATTGACGTATTGGATAGTACCCAAAGCAGATCGTATATTTTTGACCTTTCAGCCAATAATCTTTAAACTACGTTAAGACTCTCGTTGCTACACATGAAAATATCATGATCTTTTAAATCTCTTACATCGAACGAATGTTAAAATCGCATTTGATATCAACGTTTATAACACTGACCCTTACCAGTGAAGAAGGGAGTGTCTTTATTATATTTTCGACTTTCTTTCTGTAAATGATCTGACAGTGTGTGAAAGGTTACATGATTTGGCTCCACAATTATGATATTTTACGATAATGTTAAGCAACTTTCTAATTGTGACTGACGCCGTTCTATTATATTAAAACATTTTTATTTCAGACGGCTACATTGCAAGAGCAACGTTTTGCATATAAACCTGTTTGTTGCTTTTATTCTCCGAGCGTCTGTAACATTCATCAAGACTTTGGTGTTTGTTGACGATGTTGGATTAGAGAAAGACATTAATCGGCTTCCTGGTGGGCTGATAGAATTTAAGATGGAGGGAATGGTAATTGACTGTTATATTTATTACATATTGAAACTCATTGTATATCTAAAATAATCTTAATTTCATTACAAAGCGCAAATTTAAAGTTAGAACAACTGTCTTGTATCATATCATGGCATAGTGAGCAAACTTAAGAAGGACTTATTTACAAGGTCTAAAAGTAAACTGAACAAACGTTTTCCTACAGTTTAGCGATAAAATAGATAATATATCATATATGGATGGAATGAGAAGCATGCCTCCAAAAATGATAGTTTGGTTAATCAAATGTCATCAAGCCATAGGCTGCAAAAGTATGGCGTTAGTCGTAAAAAGCTTTCCTAAATTTTACCATTTAGCAATAATACCAAATGTGATAAATATCTTGTTACATATACTATTTCAGCATTGGGAGTGCAAATTAATAGTGAGTATATTTGTATACACTGTGGCTGCGAGTATGATGTGGATATTAATGGAGGGAATGTACTTACAGATGCTTGTATATAAAACATTATTCACTGAGAGAAACGGAACAAGAATATACGTTCTGGTGGGATGGTGTAAGTAAAGTATTAGCTTGTTCAATTATTTGAATACGGTAATGTTGAATCTGCTTGCAAATAAATATAATTATATTGTGTTTGGTGCTAGTTCTTATATTAGAATTTATATTTACTCCACAAAACAAGATAGTTATTTGAATTTATTAGATAGATTTGATTAATATGTCTGAACAGAAAAGTTATAGTCATTCAAGTTATTATGTTCAATTTTGGAATTTGGAACAGTCTTTTCAAGTTCAAGACAATTTGATAATCAATACGTCCTGTATCAACCGCTATCAAATATATACCAGGCAGTGACAAACTATAACGTTGTTTGACATGAATTCAAAATATTCATATCGATTCGTGCATTATTAATACAAGGCATGTAATGAATATTTTTATTTGTGATATTTATCAGTATCATTTACGGAATGTTTACAAGGGTGACCACACAAAACTTTATCCTTGCACATGCATTTTCTAAATAGGTGGTTATCCATTGTTATCACTTGTTAATCATGCTAAAAGCTTCGTCATAGTAAAACTGTCACACACACTTACATGTATAAACATTGTTATTTGTAATAATAGCTATCAACATGATTATTCACAAAACATTCCAAGCTGTTTTTAAAACAGCATACAATTCAAATTGAAATCCACATAATTTGTCCATGCTCAACAGTTAAAAAAGGGCCAAAAGTTTTTTTTATTTCATTTTATTTATCTCGGTAATTCTAAAATATCATTATCGCTCGTCCTCAATGGGTTTTCTGTTTTCAAAAAATCTGCAAAACTTTCTTAAATTACAAAATCATGTTTCGTGTGTATTCAAATATGAAAATATTGCTGCTTAATAATGTATTTTTTGTCACTTTTTATTCGCAAATATAGTTCAATTTTAGAGAAAAGTTTGTAAGATTAGCTCCTAGAACAGCCAAAAATGTTAAATATTGAAACTCTGATTCGTTTTTGTTAATGTTCGAAATAGCGTTAAATAGTGAAATATTGAATATGTAAGTCCTATATGTCTTTTTCAAACCGACATTACATTTGTTTGAGCTTGTTTTCATCAATTAATAGTATCATGTAACCATCTGATTAATTATCACAATTATAATGATATCTGAATTTTGCATTTTATTTCAGTATCACCATTTGCATACCTGATACCATGGATCATTGTTCGTATTTACGAAGAAAATGAGTTGTAAGTTATTATCATTATTATTAGCAAAATTGATAAAGCGATAAGAATTGGATTCTTATGGAAATAAATGTTATTAAGAAGCTATCTACATGACTGTAGCAATTGGTTATTATACTTTATACTATAATGACATGTCGGACAATTATTGTAAAGAAAACAAGCTGGTTCAAAACTAACTTTCTTAAAAAAGAGTCATCTACTTCTGTGTCTTTACTTGTTTTTCAAGTGAACGGTATCCCCCAACCCTATTCACTTTCCCTTATGCTTATGCCCGTTCCCCTTTGTCCTTTTGGAGGTATTTTAATTATTTGTCAGCTTTAATAAGGTTGTATGTTTCTATGATTCCTTTTTTTAATAATTAATAATGTCATTCCGCCCGTTTTTTACCCATGTACCATATTCTGTGTGGTGTCCTGCTGGGCTCCTTGACGATTGTCCTTTGTTGGGTGCGTTCATTGAATGCCACATTATCTTGTTGATCTTGTTTTCCATATTCCCTTTACAGTTGTATTATTTACGGTAAAAGAATGGTAAACTCGATACATACTCTTAAAAAAGCATAATATGGCATTGGAAATCTAATTTTCGACATGCAATTAAATTAAAGACAGTTAATAATTTTTGTTTCTATATTTTGTCATGTCATTCTGTACAGTAACCAGTCATTCTAAAATAGATAATTCCTTTCTAGATGTTGGAACCAACACCGTACGGACGGATATTTTTGGATTATTAAAGCACCAATTCAGCTGTCAGTTCTGGTAATTTGACTGTTAATTTACTAACAATTAATATAACTCATTCGTCAAAAATAAACTCTTAATTGTTATACAAAGAACAGTACTGCAGAAAAGAATTTTGTGCGAAATTCAGCTCGTCTTTTATGTTCTTAATATCACTGAAAAAATGTTAGGAAAACACGAGGTTCCCTTAAAATATCACAATTTTTATACTATTTAGCAAATAAATAATGACATTGTATTTTATTATGAGTACTTATGTGTTGACTTTTACAAACCAATTAATCATTCATCTTAACGGTTTCTCCAAAGGTAGTGTGTATTTCGTCGTAAAAGTGAAATAAAAATTTTATACCGTTATTCGATCACAATGTCACATAGTAACTTATTTTATTGACACATTTATAATATCTCAAACAACTTTTGCTCAATTTCATCACGAGATATCGTACACATTTTAATGTTTAAACTTGACTACAAAATGATTTTAACACTTGCGTAACTAACGAGACACTACACACACAGTGAATGAAATAACCTTATTAGAAATGTATTCTCATAGAAAAGTGTTTCTTTATTGCAGATTAACTTTATATTTTTCATTAACATCGTTCGGGTTTTGTGTGTAAGGGCAAAAATTAGTCGACATGTGAAAAGTGATTCTCAGCATTTAAGGTAAATGTACATTATCTTGTCACACATATATTCTAGTAAATATATTTTGGGTCAAAGATGTTCATGGGTTTTCGTTTATCTACACAGTATTGTATCATGATCTAGTCTGGTCAAGTAACAATTGGTAAATTGTAGTTAAAAGATATGTGTTTGATATTTAAATATCAAAGAGGACAACTTCACTAGTAAACCTTGAAATTGAACATTTAACATTGACGGTGTCGGTTCCACTTTAAACCAAACATAGAATGAATATGACATTCTTCGAGTTTTGGCGGACGTTTACAATGTTTTGTTGCCTGTTGATAATACTGCAAGCTATATTAACTTACTTTATAAATATCTTATATGACACAGTGTCAGAATACTGCAAACATTGTAATGTCTATTGTCAATTAAGTTTTGTTGGTTAACATTACAACTTTCCATATCATAGAGCAGCATAAATACTTGCTTTTGTATTGTATATCAACATTCCTTTCGAGGGATCTCAATTTTGCCCTCTTCTCCAAAATTTCATATTCTATGAAATAAGTACATCCAAGAAACAGTACCAATTAGTTGATACCAGACGATTTTATAAGACAAAGACTAAGACTATATGTGTTTTACTGTATTTGTTTCAGAAAGACAGCAAAATTTGTTCTAGTGCTCATTCCACTGTTTGGCGTTATCTACATAGCTTTCTCAGCTTATCCGTCAGGCGCTGTGAGCATGGAAGCTGATATCATATACCTTTACTGCGAGATGTTTTACAACTCATTTTAAGTATGTATTTATTCGTTATTAATGAGCCGCGTCACGACAAAACCAACATAATAGGTTTGTGACCAGCATGGATCGCGCGCAGTCTGATCAAGATCCATGCTGTTCACTATCAGTTTGTTTACTTGTTATAGGGTCTTGTCGTGACGCGGCTCATTTATCAAATAAGCTTTACCTCGGATATATGTTTTTGACTGTCCTTCATCCAACGCTTTTTATAGTGACGTGTGTTATACTTGAACGTTACCGTGAACAAATGTTTTCTGTTTCTCTTAAAAGGCGTTGATTTATCAATATTTAGTAATATTCGATTCTCATCTTTATATACAATACTTCAATAGCATACCTTGATTGACATACAGGAAATTTTTACTGAGTATGCCATATTTGAATAAGACGATGCACTTTGTTTAGGAAGCCCCATTTTCCTATTTCTGGTCATTTTATTTCTTTGTGTGTTTTTTTTTCTCTTAACATGACATTATATTAATTTACATCATTTGATTACAGTTTAAAACCTAGCATATCTTCCCTTTTTGTACCTAAACGATTCTTATCTTACTTAAAAAAAGATGTGTAGAAACGATCAGTATCTATCTTTTTTAAATACAATATCTCAGCAAATTATATCTTTAACAATTCGAAAAAACAACGTTTTTGCTACATTTTATTTGATAATGCAACTATAAATTTATATACTTATATTTTCTCTTTTCAGGGTTTCGTCTTAGCCTTGCTGTTTTGCTTTCTAAACGAAGAGGTAAATATTTGCATTAGAGCATGGATATCTAGCTTGCTAAAGAGGTGTGTGCAGAATTCATGTGTATGTGCGTGACGTCATGTGTTTTTGTTGTTATAGGTTCTATAACTCTGTATGTTAGGTTCTAATCACTTAGTAATTCCGTAATATGATAGAGCTTTCAAACTGAGAAGCGACCATTTGATCGTACCACCAAAGTCTCGTGCCTTATTTAATGCACAGAAGGTTAGCTTTTATTTCAAAGTAAGTTAGAAGTCAATATATGACCTTGACATTGTCGGTGTGAAATAAAACCGGCTCAATGATATATGAGGTTTTTTTTGCGCATACACTTCTTTCATGTAAATGAATGTGTGTGTTTCATCCTAAGTCATACAAACACTGCAAATATATGCTCTTACCTACTGAATAAAACAAAAATTATTGTAATAACTCATAATAACTCATAAAATTATGGCTTTTCGTTAGATTTACATACTACTGTTTTTTATAAAAGCAACTTACAACAATGGTTGTCTAGTGTTGTATGTCAGCTTTGCAACATGTTGTTACATATTGTCTTTCTTCATTATTGCTTACGTCAAAACCCCTTTGGGTTTTTTTATTTTTTAAAAACTAATAAACAGGGGACTGGAGAAGAAAGTGGGTTTAAATTTGTGCCCGTGGGTTTTTAATTTAAATTTTTGACTTTTTTTTTGCAGATCTTTGGTATTATTTTTCACAAAAAGTTAGAGGGGATTTTAGGTTTATTTTATAAAAAAGAAAGAATGTTTAAAATCCCGTTTTTAAATTTTTGAAAACTAATTTTAAACCCTTGGGTAAAATTTGGGAAAAGGGGGGGGTAAATTTCTTACTTCCAAAACCCAAAAAAGTAAATTTTTTTCAATATTATTTCTTTTTTATCGTTTACCTTTTTAAAACTACGTCTTTGGGTTCCTTCATAATATAAACACGTACATATAATTCTTGTCCATTGTTTTTTTATATATTAAGAAATGCAGATTTGTTTAACAGCTATGAAATATATGATATAAAGAAAAGTAAGAAACTAAGAACGCATGCGTTTACACATTTAACTATAACTAATAACCTCATTATAATTTATTTTGCAATGTCATGTGCATCAACATGTTTGAAAACACGAGTCGAGGTTTATTGCGTAATGCCAACATGCATTCCCTAATCTAAGGTAAACTCAGTTATAGTAAAATCTTTTGATATCCTTCATTGAAAAATATATACATGACTTACACGATATTAGACAAACATTAATGTCAAATTACGAACGCATTACATTTAACAGCAGCACCAATAATGAAATAGCTTTGATATTAATAACTGTATCATAGTTTGGGAACCTTTCTGTCTAAAATGTGTCAGAGATAAACCGTATACATATACATGCATATTGCGTTAACTGGAGTGCAGGTATTAGTAACCCGTATTCCAAAGCATGGCCATTGATTGGCTAATTTATTGCACTGTTATCGTTCTTATCTTATATTTTGTCATACACTGGATGGTATCTTGTTTAGTAAAAAGCGTTGCACAAACAATTTACATTCTTTCCCTTTATTACCCATTAACAATTTCAAAGTACTAAATTAAACATGTGTTTGTAATTTCTGTGATTTGATCTCTTTGCTCTTGTGAGCTTGATAGTAATTATAGTTAATGAATAGTTTGGTTTTTCTGGCAATATAAAAAGACTTTTTTTAACCCCGCTGGGTTTTGTGAAGTTTCTCAAACCCAATATATTGTATTTATATACATATAACCTATCCCAAAATTTATGCTTTTATATACAAGAAAGTTTTTTTCATAAATATTCTGAGCTTAAAATACATTTTGTTTAAAATATAAAGTTTTAAAAAATATAAAAAATGGAAATTGTTTTTAATTTATGACTTTTTGTTTTAAATAGATATACTTCGGCAAAAAAGAAATTAAATAAATGCATTTTTATAAAATTTTTAAAAATTTAAAAATGTTTTAAAGGGGACCCAAAGAAAAACAGGGTTTTTGGGGGAAACGCATTCAATTTGTTTTTAAACCCCCGCTTTTCCCTTTAAAATTTTCGTCATGGGAAAGCCTCGAGGGCTTACGGGAAAACCCTTTTCAAGGGGATTACGCGTTTTAAAGAAGGGCGATGCTCACTCATGGAAACTGTGTTGATACATGTAAGTTAAACAAAAAATGCCAAGAGCATGTGTCATGGTCCCGGAAAAGTCGAGAAAAGAAAAACGGAAAGGGCCTTCAAGCATGGCAAAATGAGGACATAGACGGCATTATGACAGAAACAAAAACTTTGGATTCAGGTGCTGAAGATGTTTGAAGTTCGAAATGACTTTTATGTGACATTACACAAGTGGCGAGCAGACATTATAATTATGAGGGGAAGTAGTTTATGACGACAATGTTAATCAGTAACATTTAATGGTAGAAAAAAAAGTAAATGCAATTTTGAATCTTAGTGATTTACTTTTAAGTCTTTAAGTTGTAATTGTGCAGACAGTTGAACTTAAACTATTTTAAGATATTGATATAAGTTTCAGAATGTTGTAAATATAAAACCGTTCTTATTCACAGCAAGCACTTATGACATGCTACTTATCAAAATTATTAATGTATGTAAAATGAATAAATTTGAATTAACATATGTCTGATACACAAAAACAAGCTATTTTGAATCGCCTATTAGTCATGTTGCTGTGACAGATAAAATTTATCTAAACTATACAAAAATATTTTATTCTTGTTTTCGTAATGATATCATAATAAACGTTCATACAGCTGCCAGTGACATGTCTGAATAAAACATTGTATTGTTTTATTTGAGAAGCATTCAAAGTTGATCGTATGATTCTACAATAAACAATTTTGTTCCTCATGTAAATCCTAAATGTAACGTGTTTGAAATAAAAGTGTGGAACTTACATATTTATTTTGATATTTCAGCTAGGACAGATATACATTTGTATTTCATTTATACATTGTGTTGTAAGATTATACAAAAAAAACAACGATTGTCAGGCCGATAATGCACTTGTCAAGTGAAGACTTGCGTGATACAGTAGAAATATAACATACTGCTAAGAAAATATGAACAACAGTAACTAAAATGTAGTATAAGATACATTTCTGCGAAAATATCAATCTCGAGGAGAAAAAAACAAAACATTTTTAACAAAAGCATCAAGCAGATCACCGGTAACGCAGGAATGAAAAAAAAATGGAAACAAAAAAACAACAACAAAAACACACGATTCGTGCGAAACGTAACGCAGAACTATGCAATAAATGGCGGATACCTGGCAAGATTTTCAACGCGATAAGTAAACTGTACAATATCTTTTTATTTAACCACACTGAAAAAAGGAATAGCCGCATACGGCTGAGAAGACATTATACTTTATCCTTCATCGAGACTTTCCACGAAACTGCTTACTTTTCAAGATCAGTCGTGAAAATGATGACTTGACCACCGTTTTGAGTGTGATTTCGCCCTTATGTCTACTCCCGGGTTTGGTTTGGTACCTTCCGGGCACTCTGCTGTGCCGGTTTTGCTGCGCCCTGTGAGCGTTGCCTTTGTCTTGTTGATCTATATTCTCGTTTTCATTTGGCTTTTTGTTCAACAATGCATATAATACCATGTAATCTTAATATTTGGTAGGCAAATGACATTTACTAAACTTCTGGTGACATAGAACATTGAATATAATCTGATATGATGGATAAAGTATAGTAAAGTACTTGAATGATTGCCTAGTATGGGTCTTTGGTTTGATCCTTACAGTTGCCATTGTTTTAGACATACCTACCTACTCATTTTTGCAGTATATTTAATGGAAATGACCGAGTTCTTGTATAATTGTCAACACAGATATAAAGCAATTCAAAAACACTATCTCGATTAGCATTGTGTTTAACGGCATTGAAATGACATTCATTGATTCAAATCAGAATTTTAGATTTCATTCTTAATCATTGTTAATTCAAAAGGGTATAGTCTGTTCAAAAATAATTACAAAACATATTAAAATAAAGTGCACAAAATAAAAAAACAAATAATCATAGCTTCATAAATGATGAAAGATATGAAAGATGGAAAGAAAAGAAGTATAAACACGAACCTACGCAGTCTGGATCTCATAAAATGTAGCCCATTTAGAAGTTATAAACTTGTTGTTCAGTATAAACATTTCATAGACACGAATTTAATTAAATCACATATTATTTCGTACATCTCACGAAACTTACCAAACATTATCGAAGAATAATATATTGTCTGCAATATACGTATAATCAGTATGCAATTGACAGGTTAATAAAATCAAACAATACATGATGGTAAATTAACAAAAACTTCAAAACAGTTTGGCGCATGATCACTGTAAACCAATTCGTGTAAAATACTGTATTTCGCAGACGTGGAAAAATTGTCAAAAGAATAATTTTTTTAAAATGTGTATATAAAAGAAAACAAAAACAAACAAAAAATTAAACAAAAGCATGGGAGCAATTGAAAGAGAATTTAATAATTTTTAAGAAGTAAATTCCAGAATCGCAAAACATCGAACAACTGAGGAATAAATGTTAGGAAACCTGAAAGACATGACGAAAAAAGGGAAGTTAAAGAAAAAAGTGAAGCGCTTTTGACAGGCAATTTAGAACTGAATCTGTACATGAGGGATAATGAATAAACGCAACATCCCTCATACCCCCCCCCCCCCTCCATAGATGCATACGAAACATCATCCGAGGATTTAAATCCAGAATATTGACAAACAGCTATTTTCATGGAAAAAAGTAAATGCAAGAAATTTCCAACTGGAATTGTATAATTCGCGTCTTTTTGGCAGCCATAAGTTTGGATAAGAACTGATATCCCGTGAGCCAAATGCACTCTTATGGTATGCCCACAATCCTAATGCATTACATCCTAATGCTTTGAAAGGTATGCAAATAGGCTACAAGAAAAGCATTGATGCAAAGCATCAAAGGGCGACGCCAAAAGAATTTGATCCAGGTTTGCACCTAAATACTTAACAAAAGATGTGTACTTTATAGCAGTACCTGTAC